CTTTTCAGTGCTGGCCCGCTACAAAGTCTCTTTCCACATGTAGTGCAGAGATACGGCTTCTCAGCTGCGTGAGTTTTCATGTGGCCCAACAAGGCCTTATTAACTTTGAAATGCTTCCCACATGTTTTACAAGAAAACGGCTTTTCATCTTTGTGGGTTCTCATGTGGGCTGCCAAGCAACTAGTCGATACAAAGCTCTTTCCACAGGTTTTGCAAGAAAACGGCTTCTCGCCTGTGTGGATTCTCATGTGCACCACCAAGCTACTAGAATTTATGAAAGTCTTCCCACATGTTTTGCAAAGATAGGGCTTCTCGCCTGTGTGGGTTCTCATGTGGATGTTATATACATTTTTCAATCTGAATTCTTTACCACATATTTTACAACAATAAGGCTTCTCACCTGTGTGGATTCTCATGTGGCTTGCCAAGCTACTGTTACAAATAAACCTCTTCCCGCATGTTTTACAACAAAACGGCCTCTCACCTGTGTGGATTCTCATGTGGTTCACCACACTACTAGAGGATGTGAAAACCATTCCACATATTTTGCAAGAAAATGGCTTCTCTCCTGTGTGGGTTCTCATGTGGAACGTTAAGCCATGTTTAAATCTGAATTCCTTCCCACATGTTTCGCAAGAATACGGCTTTTCTCCTGTGTGGACTCTCATGTGGTTCGCCAAGCTACTAGAAGATGTGAAACCCATCCCACATGTCTTACAAGAAAATGGCTTCTCGCCTGTGTGGGTTCTCATGTGGATCAAAAAACCACTACTATATCTGAATTCTCGCCCACATATTTTGCAAGAATATGGAGTCTCACCTGTGTGGACTCTCAGATGTATAATTACTTGGTCTTTGCGCTTAAAGGTTTTTCCACAAATGTCACATTGAAATAACATTTTACCTGTGGAAGGAGTCGGATTAATCACAGAAATGGTAGAGAAATACACATCAGTACTATGAAATCTACTTTTGTGACAACTCCCTGTTGGGTTTGGATCTGTATTTCTAATTAATCCTGAGTCTACATGCAAATCTCCTTTGTGGTCTTGGCTCTCAACTACATGAGATTCATGGTCACTGTTTGGTTCTGCTACTACAAAGCTTTTAACTGGTAAGTTGACTACAGACTCTTCCTCTGCTGCACTCTCTGTTTTATCAGTATTCATGCACAGAGTTTGACCTTCATTGTTGTCACTTTCCTCATAAGTGGGAATCAACATGAAGGTATCTGTCTCCTGCTTCAGTTCCAGCTGTTCTTTTTCCAGACTGGCACATAGTTCCTCTTGTTCTTCTTTAATCTGTGGCGGCTCTGGTTCTTCAGAGTCCAGACTGGAGTCCCTCTCCTGGTTGCAGTGCTGCTGGTCAGTGAGAACCTCCTCCACATGTTGCCGTGGGAACTCTGGAGAGACAGACAAAAATGGAATTTGAATCATATTGTGTCAATGTCAATTTATTTACATAGCACATTAAAAACAATAACAGTTGCCCAAATAGCTTTACAAAATAAAACACTATGACAGAATAATATAACTAAACAATAAACACTAAAACTATAGACCAACTTGGAAGAATATCAAAATAAGTATTTAAAAACAAAAAACAGCAAAAATACAACACTTAACAGCAAACGATTGATGACCTTTTCAAGATCATGTCTAAGAATAAAAGGTTGAACCATTGACAAAAGTCTTAGTTTGAAAAAGCTCACTCTAACCACACAATTAATTTCTTAATTTTAATTTACTGTATGACACCCAGGTTTTCACTGACGGTTTTAGAAATGGTTCAAGGACACCTACACCCTGTGTAAAAGGTTCATTGGTACCAACTGGGCCAATATTTATATGCTCCATGTTATTTTCATTTAAACTTAAAAGAAAATGTGAAGCCATCCAGGCTCTAGCATCCTCCAAGCAGTCTTTCCATGGTTTAAAACAGTTTAATCCCTTCACTTTCAAGGGGAAGTAAATGTCCATTCCATTGATTTGGATAATAATAAGGCGATTATCCTTATTATTATCCAAAACAATGGAATGATATTCTGTTGCCTAAAAATGGATCCTGATGGTTGCAAATAAAGCATGAATCAAGTCAGCCGAAGGATGGAACTTTGGAGGACGCCAAAAGACAGTGGGACAGTAGAGGATACAGAGTCGCCAAGGTTGACAGATGATATACTTTGACAGTTTGATCCCGATAAACGCAGCTGTAGGCGCACATAGATTGGGCGATGAGTTTTTTTTACCAGCATCTAGTCTGTGCATTTAATTAGGAACTCATGCGAATGAAATGCATCTCTTTGATTCTGCAGATAATCGGAGTTTTACGTACCAATCTTCTCTAACTGTACTTCGGGGTTCCAAACGATGTCCAGCAGTTTACGCTGACGAGCGATCTCTTCTTCATACTCGACGATAGTTTTTGAAAAAACTCCTAATATTTCTTCCGCGGCTGCAGTCAGTCGTTCGATGACAAGCTCCCTCAAATACTGAACCGAAGACATTGTTTCCAAATTACAATAAAAGGTTAGTAATAGCCTAACCATTTACGCCTCGGCTGTCTTCATGCAATTGGAGCGTGTTATTTCCGCCGAGTGTTACACTTTTATGTTCCGGCAATGCAACAGTATTATTTTGTTCCGCTTACAAATGTCAGAATTATAATAGGACGTGCAAACCGCAGCATCAGACTTGCAAAAAGTTATTTGCTTATAAATAGGCAGCAGTATCTATGCAGAGGCCGTTTATACATGTGAATTGTCAGAGTTCTGCTGTACATGCCTCTCCTCACTGATAGATTGTTCACATCAGAATCAGAATCTACTTTATTGGCCAGATGTGTCGGACACACAAGGAATTTGACTGTGGTACATCTGCTCTCAATGTGTATGTACATATCCTCATGCAAGGGGCAAGTAAACAGTAAACCAGCATAAGGCTGTGTAATATAACAAAACAAGCAGTATTAACAAGCAACAAACAGTGCAAACAATGCAAAATAAGCAGTATAAACAGGCAGTAAACAATGCAGACAGACAAGGAATGCTCCTTGTAAAATGGGATAAGTACGAATGAAAAGAGAGTACTTAAAAATAGTGACCTGTACAAATCTGTATAATCTGTACGAGGTATATTTACAGGTATTGCACTGAGGGTTATTGTCCAATCATACTGTCGTTGGTTAAGTGTTCATCAGAGCGACAGCCTGGGGGAAGAAACTGTCCCTGTGCCTGGTTGTCTTGGCGCACAGTGACCTGTAACGCCGTCCAGAGGGAAGGAGTTCAAATAGATTGTGTCCAGGGGTCTGCAGTGATCCTCTCCGCCCTCCTTTTGACCTGTGAGGTGTACAGGTCCTCCATGGAGGGCAGGCTTGCACCAATGACCTTTTCTGCAGTCCTGACCTGTTTGGTTGCTGAGCCAAGCCAGACAGTGACACATCAAAAACCAAACAATCAAAAAAGCTGTACTTAGGTACTGAAAATGTGTAAATAACTTATAATTAAGTGTCCTAATTTTTTGAGCATTTTTGATAATTTGGCAAAAAGTAACTAATTGTTAATACAAAAATACTTAAAAACATTACTGACTAATCCAGTGAGCAGCTAGCAACTGCAGAAAAAGTAATGCTATACAACAGTGACTGCACTTCAGTCTTATTGCTACTGTACAAACACACTCACTCTAAGGTTGTACACCTGCATGAATAAAAGCTAACAGCCTTACATATTGCTCTACAGGCCTGTACAGTTTATCTTTGTGGATTTTCATGTGGCCTGTCAAGTGACCAGTAGATACAAAATTCTTTCCACATGTCTGTGTAAAAATACAAATACCACTGTCAACACGCAGTAGAAACAATCTCTCAGAGCAGCCATGTACTGCAGTATGACCCCATGCTGAAAACCAACAAGTTAGACTGACAATCACTAAAGGTTTTCATGTTTTGATGCAGATAATGATAAACAGTCTTGTTGTCTGTAAAAGATAAGGCAAGTTCAGGTTTTACTGTGTTATGCTATCACCTGTTTGTGGTTTTACAATCTGTTGTATGGCAGAGAATGACAATGTTGAGGTTTAACGGTCAGTTTCTTTGAAATGTCTAGCAACAGTACTACTTAAGTTGAACTACTGTATATATGTTCAACAAATTAATAGTAACTTGAATATATCCTATATGTAAAGATAATGTACTGACATTTACAGATTTAAACAAATGCATAGACATTCTTTTATTTAAGATCGCCGCCTCATGTGCAGCCTGTACCTTAAACTGAACAGGATTCCCTGTCCTTGGTATGTAGCAACCGGCATGCCAGCAGGGAAAAAACGTACACAGCCTGATTATCAGTGGCGGGAGAGAAAGTGGTTGGGTGGGTGGACCAACCATCCATTTATCAACAGGGGCCACACACTGGGGGAACTCAAGCTGCGCTAACTTAAATGTAACATCTTCTGGGAAAGTTGTAGCACTAATACATATAGTTAGATTTACTGCCATAGCCACTTCTAAATTTAGGCTGCTGCTGTCACTCCACTTCTTTGGCCATGTGTAACATTTAATTAGCTGTATACAAAGTCCCCAGACTCCAAAAATCTGGTAGCGTATTTCTTTGTTATAAACAAACATGCATCATTAAACTAATTTCTTGAAAGTTACTTTTGCCTTAAGCAGAAATAGTGTTATCAAATATCACTTAACATTAGGTTCCTCCTCCTTTACATTTGTAATAAACAGATGACACACTTGTATTTCCATATAGCATCATAGATTAAGACGTGATAATCTCATCTAGTTTTTAAAGCACATGAAGGTTCCAGTGTGTAGAGCTCCTGATAGTACTCCCCAGGAGTCACAGTCTTACTGACATGATTGTTGGAGCTTTAAAATATAAAATTCAGGGCCTTTTTCAGTCTCCGGGCATCACAGCTCATATTACAATTATTGAAAGTTGTGGAAGCTGTGAACAGAAGCAGACTTGTGTATCCTTTAGAGATACTGGCTGGATTTATTACTCAGCAGCAACTAACTATATTACAGGTTTCCAAACACGTTTGCTGTAATGTACATAGTTTGCAGATATTAAAGTTGCAATGATTGGAATATTTCTTGCAGTTTCATCAGACTTAAACAAATACAATGAAATCTACATACAGTATAGAACATCAGTAAAAATTATTTCAACAACAGATACAAAATTCAATAAAATCAGAAACAAAAATACATAAAACAGGTAGACAAACAAACGTCCTAGTTGGAGCCAGTGATAAACGACTGCCTAAAAAAAATGACGAGTCAACATTACAAGAAGGTTTCACAGCTCATCACATAGTTAATTTACTGTGGTATTGTATAAAAAAAGAAAAAGAAGTTGGCAATTTACCTTTTGTAGGAACTATGCAACAATTGTGAGGCAAAGATTGGAGAGGTTACACCTAGTCAGACAGAAATACTAAGACAAATAAATATGAGTAATTCACCAGCACCTAGTGAGCTGCAGTTGTTGATCGATTGTTTTTTTCTGTGTATAATGAGCCATACTTTGTTTAAAATGTGATAGAAAAAACTCTCATGAGCTGCAATTATGACTCTTTTGACCTTGAGCCACTAAAACTGAATCACATACTTGGCAAATACAGCACTATTTGTCTCTATGTGATTTTCTGTGCCTTGCCAAATCAGAGACTCTGAAGTATCCTTTCCCACAGGTGTTGCAGTGATATTGCTTCTCACCTGTGTGGGCTTTTCCAGTGTGGACTATCAATTCCCTACTAAATCTGAAAGTCTCCCCACAAGTCATGCAAGTATACGGCTTTTCACCTGTATGAATTCTTGTGTGCCCTTTCAAACTTGACAAATGACAAAATCTGTTCCCACAGGTGATACAAAGGTAAGGCCTCTCACCAGTGTGTGTTCTCATGTGGACCTTGTAGTCACTGCCACATCGAAAGTCTTTACTACACAATTTACAAGAGTATGGTTTCACATCTGTGTGGATACGCATATGCCTCTTCAGAGCTGACACACCACTAAATCTCTTCCCACATGTAGTGCAGAGATTTGGCTTCTCTCCTGTGTGGGTTCTCATGTGGACCAGCAAGACCTGATTAACTCTGAAACACTTCCCACATGTTTTGCAAGAATAGGGCTTCTCATCTGTGTGGATTCTCAAGTGGCTCGTCAAGCGACTAGTGGATACAAAATTCTTTCCACATGTTTTGCAAGAAAACGGCTTCTCACCTGTGTGGATTCTCATGTGGTTCGCCAAGCTACTAGAACAAGTGAAACCCTTCCCACATGTTTTGCAAGCAAATGGCTTCTCGCCTGTGTGGGTTCTCATGTGGATCACCAAACCACTACGAAATCTGAATTCCTTGCCACATATTTTACAAGAATATGGAGTCTCCCCTGTGTGGACTCTCAGATGTATATTTACTTGGGACCTGCTCTTAAAAGCTTTTCCACAAATATCACATTGAAATAACTTTTTACCTGTGGAAGGAGTCGGATTAATCACCGAAATGGTAGAGAAATACACATCAGTACCGTGAAATTTACTTTTGTGACAACTCCCTGTTGGGTTTGGATCTGTGTTTCTAATTGATCCTGAGTCTACATGCAAATCTCCTTTGTGGTCTTGGCTCTCAACTACATGAGATTCATGGTCACTGTTTGGTTCTGCTACTACAAAGCTTTTAACTGGTAAGTTGACTACAGACTCTTCCTCTGCTGCACTCTCTGTTTTATCAGTATTCATGCACAGAGTTTGACAGTCATTATGGTCACTTTCCTCGTAAGTAGAAACCAGCATATAGGCATCTGTCTCCTGCTTCATTTTCAGCTGCTCTTCTTCCTGACAGGTGGAGAATTCCTCTTGTTCTACTTTAATCTGTGGCGGCTTTGACTCCTCTGGGTCCAGACTAGAGTCCCTCTCCTGGTTACATAGATCCTGGTCAGTGAAAAAATCCTCCTCTTCCTTACTTGTGGCATGTTGCTGTGGAAGCTCTGGAGGGACGAGGGACATATTTAAGTTACTTAGGATACACAAAAAAAAGAATAAAATGTGTAAAGCAACTAAATGCTATAAAGATAAAGTTTGACCTATCTTGTGTGATTTTAATTCAGGTTTCCAAACGTTATCCAACAGTTTGCGGTGATGATCGATCTCATCCTCGTACTTTACTATAGTCTTTTCAAAAACTGCGAATATTTCTTCAGCTGCAGCAGTTAGTCGCTCATGGATAACATTCCGCAAACACTGGATTGTAGACATCTCCATTCAAACACTCCTGACTAGCTAACGTTTCCAGAAACAAAGCAAAGCCCAAACAACGGTACACTCCTGCCAAACACGGCAATGCCAACAGTAAGTATTTAGTTAACGTGACTAACATTGCTGACTGCCACCCTAGTGTCTAAAACCAAAAGCAGTAAAGGCGCAATAACTCTTAAGATAAACAACAGCTCCATCGACGTTATCTTTTCTTCGGCTTTTTGCATTTCCTGCGCTCGTTTTTCTTCTTCTTTGATGTTTTACAGCAGTTGTTATCTTTAATGTCGCGTTGCTGCCACCTCCAGGCTCTGTAGTTCGATTTCTCTTTCTCAGCATACCTGTCCCATTGTATCTATGAATATGAGAGTTTCTAATGTGAATGATAGCAAGATTGAGGAGAGGGGCTAAGACTAAGTGCACTATTTTTGGCAACTTGGGCATACCTAGTTGCTCTGACTTTAATTTTGAATGTCTTGTCTCTTATTTTAAACCAGTAGTAAAGAACTGATCTTGGACAGTAACTAGAAACCTGACAAACAGTTTGATTCTGTTGTAAAAACAAGCTTCTTCAACTTCAGCTACTTGCCAAGATAAAATACTTTCTCACTCAATCTGCATAAGGTAATTCATGCTTTTATCAGTTCAAGACTGGACTACTGTAATACAAGACGAAGGAGATGATAGTGGACATGAGGAAGGAGAGGAGATCTAATCGGCCACTGTTCATCCGGGGGCTTGAATTGGAGAGGGTGAGCAGCTTCAAATACCTGGGCGTCCACATCAGTGAGGACCTCACTTGGACACTTAACACCACACAGCTGGTCAAGAAGGCCCAACGGCGGCTGTACTT